AGAGTAATTTCGCTTTTTATCGATTTTGAAAGATATCACGTCCTGGCGTCGGAAAATCGTGATATCTTTTAATCTAAACATTTCTCTTAAAATCTATAAGCACCGTTGAAATCCCCGTTAATTTTTCAATAAGAAGATGAAGGTGGCAAAACGTTTGGGTCTTTCTTCCTTGACCTTCTAGCTGTTTGTAAACTTCTTAAGCATTACATACTAAATGGGCATTAAATTAAATTAAAAAATTTCAATGGAATTATGATTTTGATTCTCTCTAAAAATTAACGGGGATTTCAACGGTGCTTATAGATTTTAAGAGAAATGTTTAGATTAAAAGATATCACGATTTTCCGACGCCAGGACGTGATATCTTTCAAAATCGATAAAAAGCGAAATTACTCTGAAATGGTTGAGAATCGGACCATGGACAATATGAACTTTTTTGTTCATTTTAGGGTGAAGAATCTACTGGAGAAGTTTGTAGCACGAGTAGCAATTCACCCTGTATATACCCAAATAAACATGGAAGACTGTCCGCATTCATTCGTCTACATTCGACGGGGCGAGGTTGAACCTATTTCATTTTTGCTAATAGCTTACTTTACTTTCCAGACGTCACACACTCCCCACACATTCCTCGGGGCCGGGTTAAACAACCCCTTCCTTTCACACTAATAAATTAAATTCATTCCAATCAGCTACCTAAACACAATATAGATACAATACAAACACATATAAACACTATATACATTTGAAAATCACTATATCCCTGAAGTACTGAAACGATCTGTGCCCGCTACTATGCCGCAAGACTAAGCACAAGTCGGATAATATGCCAAAATATTGTTTATATATATCAAGCCTTATACAATTGAAAAGGTGAAAAAAATGTCAAAAAATGAATTCTTACATAAAGTCTGGTTCATCATCCCCCAGACACAACTCTCACTGTGTGAATATTATAATTTTTTTATTCACCATATTTATAAATTGGACTATAGATTGATGAAGTTATTTTAACATTGTCAGCCAAATTTTGTTCTCAGTGAACGTTTACACAGATTCAAGTCACCCTCAAGCTCTAAGTAGATATTTTTGCACATAATTGTAATTGAACAGTAAAATTCAACGAGATTATGAAATCGCAGAATAGATGGTTGAATAGAATTAGAATGTATTAACGGGAAAGAATTCGCGTAGCCTCGTGACCCTACTTTCAGTTTTCAATGTCAAGGACTAAGCACTCATCCAACGAGACTCTCCCATTTCTCCCTTTCTCGTCAAACTCGTCAGACGCGTGATCCGTTGGGCTTTTTTATTTGTACAATGCGTTTTTCAGATCGTTGTATTATTTTTTAAGTTATTTTCATTTAAATGAATAATAGTAGTAGATGAGATTGTGTAATAGAACTAGGAGTTGTTATGAAGTCAAGTTTCTATATGTAAGTTTTACCCCTGACCTCTGCCATCTTCTTCAACTTTCCCTTTATGCCACTTCGTCCTGAAAATATGTTGTTTTCGACAATCTTAAAGGAGATTCATTGGGGTATCATGATTATTTATCGCCTATAGTTAAAGGTTATTGAAGTCTTGCTGTTTTGCTTTTAAACGCAGACTTTTCATGCGTAATTACAACAGATTGCGTAAAAAACCAGCTACATAAACCTTTATTTGGCAAAACCAATACTTTGGATTTGGATTTATATAGCCCAAATCCACACATGTATGTAAGGTATGTACATACAGCACACATCTACATAGCTGAGCTTTTGTAATTCACAATAATTGGCCGGCAGGAGAATAGAGAATCACCCTCCCCGTATGTCGGCATCCATATCCGTCCAACTACCGGGATTGGAGACAAGGTTGTTGACAGCAACAATTAGGTAAATTCAGTACCCAACGCATGCAGTTCCTGATTCAAACCCATTCACACTCACTCCTTTTTAAATACATCTACATACCATCCATCCAATTAGGGTGGTGGAGAACTCGATATTCCTACCACCCGCAGTCCTAAACGCTCTCTATCTAGAGCCAAGGAGCAACCTTTCCCACATGCCGGACACATACACGGACTTTGGCCCCAAAATAATTGTCCGTATGCCTATCTCGCTTGGCATATCCTTGACGTTGCGGGCGCACAGGTGGTAGTCTACCGCCCTCGCCACAAAATGTTACCAATTTTGTTCTACGGTCGTGCAGAGGGCCATGTGGGTGTTGCATTGTCAATTTACAAAATATGAAACTAAATTGCGAAGTAATCATCTTCCAGATCGGCGGGTCGCGCCAATCATTCACAGTCAAACATTTGTAGCCGGTAGTTTACCGCCTTGCGCTAGTAAAGTTTCGGTTTTTCATCGACCCTCACAGCGAAATGTAATTATCAATTTTATTTTTGTAAGTTTATTGCGTTTAAGAGTACTAACCGTAATATATTAACGTTTTTCAGTGCATTACGCTGTTCATTATTATCTAAAGAATCATAATTATGCACTATTATCAAGTTTTTCTTATAAATCCGTATTATTATCAATTTTTTTTCAACGTTAAGATTGTTTTGTTCTCTTCATTATTATTTGATATCTTTCTCTTTCTCTAATATCATTATCTTATATTATTTTTATTTTCCTAATATTATCTCTTTCAAATATACAACTTACAATGTGTAAATCTGTCTTCTCCTCATAAGGAAGTGGGTGGTTTTTACCTTTTTAGGGCACGTTTCTAAAACCCTGAGGATATTCATTGAATCAAAACGATTTAGACGGTAATGAAAAATGTCTTTCACAGGTTTCATTTTTTCATGCATGTTTTTTTTGTGCAATACATTTACTTCTAAAGACTGATATAGTCTGTTGATCTCGTATTGCTCGGGATTTATTATTTGGTCAATTTGTCATTTTGAATAAATTTTTACAATGTTTCTATCAAAGGTACACCTATTTCAAAAGATTGGGATGAGATATTGGATGAAAACTCCCGAAAACGAGTATCCAGTAGAGCCCTGAGCCTAGGAGTGACAAAAAAAGTCGCGCCCGCATGAAAGTTAATGTGGTGAGGATGACTCCTCTTCTAAAAGCCAGATCTCCGAGGGTCACCATCTATCGACAGTTCTCTTCTCCGTGAGAGCCTGCCGACTCGGTCACCGACGCTTCCACCTTCTTTTAATCATGTTGTTTTTGTATTTTTAGCGTCATCGGGCTGGTTAAGACCGGAGGTTGGGACGTCCCGGCCTTGCCTCGGTGTAATTTGGACTTTTGAATATTTAAATGAGACTTTTGATCGCGTTTCGCCCGCGGCCCTGCTGTTTCTCATCTAAAACACCCTGCCTACTATCTTATCCTACGCAGTAACCTCACTAATCAGTACCGTCTTGAAGGATCAACGTCTGACAAATTTCATTGTAGTTCCGGGTTTTCATCACGGTTGCATTCTGGGCCTGCACACTTTACATTTTTTAAAGTTTACTTAATTGGCATCCCATCATCAAACTATCGTCAGGCCAGCGATCCTATCAATCAACTCTGTCGTTTCCATTCCAACCTTCAGCAATACCTGACACTATTGGAGTTTCGGCGTGAAAAGAATTTGTTTCCCATAATAACTAAAAAAGGGTTGAGAAGATTGTCTAAATTAGTCTTCGGCAAAAGCAACAAACATACTTGCAAATGAGCTTAATACGGTAAATAACCAGATTTAGAACCCAATCAATCAAATCATTTATTATCATATCTGCAAAAGTGGTGGACAAAACGCCTTCCAACTAATAGGTACTAATCTGTTAATTACATTCCTGTCACAGTACTATTCAGTCTCAATAAAGAAACCATTGGCGCTTTAGGCCTTTAGGTCTTTAGAGGATTTATGGGAAAGGTTCGGGATGAGAAGAGTTTGACTGGGGGATCGGAAGAGGGTCTAGGATTTTATGGAGGTGTGATGCTACTTCAAGGACAAATTAAATTTGGAGATGTGTCCATAAATTGGATACGAATAAAGATGTTTGTTCAAAGGTTCGAGGATTTTGGACTGGAGTGAATTCTCTGAAGGTCGGAACGACTCGGTTCAACCAAACAGTCCAGTTATGATTGGTTGTAGTAATGATGTGCGAATGAGCCGTTTGGTTTTTAAGTTTAAGTGTTTCAAATATGAAGTAGAGAGCTTGGGCAACGAGGGGTTTGAAGGATTTTGGACTAGGGGATTGGATTGTTTGGAGGTTGGAACGTTTGGTTGACCCGACAGTTTGATTCCAGATTGACCGTAATAATATGTTTGATCTGTAGTGAGAATAGCAATCTGTTGTCAAATAGTATTTTTGCGACGTAAAATCCCAACTAACGACCAACATTGGTTGCTAGGGAAAAAACAAAGTTGTAACAGATGGGAGGAAAGATGACGTTCTAAGGGTGAAAGTTATTTGATGAGATTTGATTTCGTCGAATTAGATCCTCCATTCCTTGAACCATTCTTCCAAACAGGAAAGGTGGTCCTGGAATTGTCTTGATTTTGCAGAAAGGATGGCGGTACTGTGTACAAATGTAAGGAGTACTGTATCGGGATTGAAAAGAATATCTGTAGTGTACATTGAATACAGAATAAGAACAAGGATGCTGCCATGTGGAACATCCGAGTTTGTTCTTTTAACTAACACAAGATTTGACTAAAATATTTAAATTGCACAAGTTATAATAATTTTATGAAAATTTTCTGTACTGGGTGTCAACATGCTATTGTCTCACCTACTTATCGCAAAAACTACTTAACATTAAAAAAAATCAAACAATATTTTTAAGATGAATTTCTTTTCAAATTTCAGATTCTTCTTAGTCATTCCATTTTCGGTAAAATGGCGAAAACCACTTGAAAATTGATTCAGAAAAAGTTAATATTGCAAAAAAACAACACGTTAAAATCACATATTGAAAAAAAAAACTTTATTTTTCACTTATCTTTTTGTTAATGAGTAGTCATTCTTTCCATAATATATAATAGCTTTATTTTTTCAGCTTTCATTCAGTAAAACGATTGAGGATGGGGAAAGGTCATCTGAGAATGACACACTCATTGAAATGTACGACTCCACTCAGCTGGTAAAAATGCCAGTCCGAAAAGTAAGAGCGTATGGCACAAATGAAATAGCAGAATATAAACATGGACATACTGTAGACGTCAACATAGATAATGTTGTATGCGCATCTAACAGTATCACCGTAACCGTGGAGTTTAAGGAGCGTTTTAATGGAGTTATTTATAGCAAAGGGTATTACAGTGACCCCAACTGCAGGTAAATTACTTTTTAATATCTTTCTCAATTTTATAGACTATGACATTTTCTGTAGGTGTTTTTCTCAGATACCAGTGAACGGTATATAGTCCTAACACTCCCATGAGTTTTACCCTGTAGCAATGTGTTTGCCAGTGTTTGGTGTGGGTTCTTTAATTATGAGTTTCAGTCATCATCTGCTATAACAATGTAAGCTTTGACGATTTCTTTAACCATAAGTTTACTGTACCTGGTATCGCTAGAGTTGGTCTATGTTTCCTTTTGTTTTGCGCGGACCATTCTGAAATAAGACTTTATGTTTGATTTAGTTATCCAGATTATAAGTTCTTGATCTATAGTCTGTCGCCTTGATCTTCCTCTGGCCAATTTGACTGATTTTCAATATCCGAAATTCCCAGATTTGGGATTCATTGACTGTTGCTTTTAGGGCCACTTGGCTATCATATCTCATCGTCGTTCTGCCGGTAGCAATGTGCTAGATTTGACGACGCCTGATTAACAGTAAGTTTTCTGTGTCTGGCATCTCTGACGTTCTAACTCCTCAGTTCGTCTGCCTTTTCACTGTCCAGAACACCTTTGCCTCCTGGCAACCAAGGTATTGTCTGGCTGTTCTATTTTCCGAGATTTTGGATGCGTTTACTGACCTTTTTACACTGGTCACAATTTCATGACCGATTATGGAAGGAGGGCTTCAGATTCAACTACCCGTGAAGTGTCATTGAGGAGAGATCAAACCATACTTTAATAATACTTTTTTTCCAAATTATTATAAATTAAAATCAATGAACATCCTTATAGAAAATTATTTGTTCCACTGCTTTAAAATAACTTTGTGTTAGAAATAATACATAAATATTGAAGGTACGTTCAATCGGGTACTGGCAAGACATCATATACTATTGTGATACCGACGAACAAATGTGGCTCCAATGGGGCCTCTGGTGTCTGCAAATCAGAGTCGTGTGGACTGGGCCATTCTGTTGAAAACATTATCATCATACAGTCCGATCAAGACGTTCAGGTGATGCATTTAAAAATTATATATTTAATTTTAATTATGTTTTAGTGAATAATCAAATTGGTGGCTTTTTAGGAAGCTTGGGACATAGCGCGAAAAATATCTTGCGGAAGCCCTAACACCAACTCAAATGCTGTCCACTTTAAACCAATATTAGTTGATATGCTGGAAGTTGTGTCAGTACCAGGTGACAGCGGATCCATAGATTGCTGGATGGATATCCAACGAGGACAATACCCTCAGGTATAAATCTTTGATACTTAGAGTCGATTAAGCATCCTACGAAAAAGCCTCGACCTCATAACCTCAAAGATACATAAATCCATATCCCAAAAACAGGTCTACTCTTCGTAACTTACATTTTCATCATTCGGTCAGGGCTGCCCTATCGTCCCTCCTGCGGTGTTCGCCTCAATAGTTGCACGTATGTAATCCCGGGTTACCAAGGAAGAGTGGTAACACTAGTATGCGTTGTGGTGGCCGGTATCAGCCGTACCAAAACTACCGCTGGGCATTGGCTCCGCGCCAGCATTTCCTGTAATATACGTCTTTGGAATGGCAGCGAAAGGGAGATTATGATAAAATACGTACGGTGGAAAGAAGGGTCGTCCTTCCGGCGATGTACTCTGCAATCGGGCATGGTATGTGGTACTACGTCACATCCATAAAGTCAGAGGGGTCCCCAGTCACCTCGAACCTAGTGTGTTTATTGCATTTGATCGATTCGGAGATACGGGCAGTCCGGCCTAATTCATTAATGTAGTGCTGGTACATGTAGAATGGTAATCTGCGGCACAGTTGCGGGTCTCCGGCAGTGATAGTGCGTCACTTCTCATCGATAAAATTAGCCAAGCCAATTTCCTCGCTATTAATGGCATAAACATAGTTTAGCGGGAAAGGGCCACGTGATGGGCCATCATATCGTGGGTGGTCAACTGCTGCTGTACTGGCTCTGGATGGAGATATGGTGAGGGGGGGTTGCCTCCCTTGATTTGGGCGCTGGGTTTGACCCAGCGCCTGAAAGGCTCTCACCCGATCAAGCCCTCTCTCAATTCGGCGGGCATTCGACGGACTACGCCGACATCGGGCGTTGCTTGAGCCTTGGTCTGGAGGTAAGCTCCTGCCACTTACTGCTGCCGATACGGCTGCATTACCCCTAATCTGGGCTGGCGGCACCTATTGGTCCGATCCCAATCGTCTTCCTGATCTTTTGGATTTCTTTGTTGCATCTAGCGTAGGATCCATCTTCTCATCTATCCAGTGCTTACAAGACACATCCTCAGATCACTCCCCAGTACTACTTACTCTAAATATAACTCCACTCCCCAAATCTACAAAACCATCTCTTTTACAAAACACAGTTAACTGGAAACTTTTCCAAGATACCATGAATTTCTCTTTAAACCTAAAAATTTCCTTGAAATCAACCGACGAGGTTGATGCTGCTGTTTTGAAGCTCACCAACACTATACAGTACTCCTTCCTCAATCCTCAACCCCTAGAACCCACCATCTCCCACGTAAAGATGATCTTCCAAGTCACATCCGCTCTTTAAGAACTCTCAACCGGTTAACTGTGACTCTTCGAACTCAACTATCCTTTTACCGATCTTCTCAATACAATAAATATCTCGAAACCCTTTCCACACATGACAACTCCCTCTGGTCCGCTACAAAAACCTTATTAAAATATCAAGCAGTTGACTCCCCCATCCGTTTACCTGTTGGATCCTGGATCAGGAACGACAAAGAGAAATCAAACCTACTTGCAGCCCATTTAGAATACACATTTACTCCTCGTGAAAACATAAGCGGTGCCTTTCACACACAAGATGTAATGGATAACCTTAACATTCGACTTCCACTTCATCTCCCCCTCAAACCTTTTCATCCTTCTAAAGTAATATATTACATTCACAAATCGTCAAAGAGAAAATCTCCAGGGCACGACCTAATCATTTCCACCATATTCCGATACCTACCACGAAAGACCATAGTCTTCTTAACCACCATATATAATGCCATCCTACGAACTACTTATTTTCACCTCTTATGGAAATTTTCCGTTGTTATCCTCATTCCTAAAGCTGATAAACCTCCCGACCAGATATCCTCCTACAGACCCATTAGCCGTCTTCCTACAATGTCCAAAATCCTTGAAAGGCTCTTCTTAAAACGACTAATCCCTATCCTAGATACTTATATTATTCCCTTCACCAATTCAACTTCCGTCCAAATCATTCTACAACCCAACAAGGTTTTAGAGTTGTGGACACCATTTCCTCTGCTCTTGAGAACAAACAGTATTGCCTGGGTGCGTTCCTCGATGCAGCACAAGCTTTTGACAGGGTGTGACACCCGGGCATACTTTATAAACTCAAACGCTTCCTACCCACTCCTTATTACCTTATACTACCTAACAGACCGCTGCTTCAGAGTGAGGTGCGGTAACGAGTTCTCTGAAATCAGGCCAATACAAGCCGGTGTCCCACATCGAAGGTTGGTGTAAAAAGTGGACGTCAGGTACAGAGCATCACTGAAGAGCAATGCCATCACATGCTGGCTTGGGCTTAAAGAATGCTCTGCCATAATATTACATGACTTCCCCACATCCGATTAAGTATGGCACGGTGGCACTATTTAATCTCTAAGGTCTAAACTGTCATTGAATAACAAATCCCCTAATGACAATACTTTAATAACATCAGACTTATGGACTAGACCTTTGGGGCTTAACTAAACGTTTAAATGTTCCTACATTCCAATATCCAATAATCCAAGAATTTTATGGCTAATCGTACAATTATCGGACTGAGGTATAATTAGACAATTTTCAGTGTAAAACAATGTAAGTCTAGATAAGGTTGCAACGTCAAATATACCTTGGCAAATTAACAAATTATTATTTATTATATAAAAATTCAACTTATACATTTCAGGTAACACCGATTGAAGGAATAATCAAAATAGGTGAAAAACTGAGTCTTCTAGTTTATGTGAAAGACAGAGAAAATAAATATGACATTTTGGTACACGATTGTTATGCATATGATAATGAAAATTATAATGATGGCAAAACGACAAAACTTCAACTTACTGATGTTGATGGATGTCCAAAGTGAGGGCTATAGATATATACATGTGCAAAATGAGAGGTAATGGAAATAATCACTAAAAATCATTAATTTGCAGAAAACCTAAACTGATATCAAATTGGAAAACATCAAAAACAAATTTACCAAATGGCGCTACAATGGTAGCATACAATGAAATGACAGCTTTTAAATTTCCAGACAGGCAACAAGTTTACTTAACTTGTAACATTGAGGTACTATTGCACATAAACCTCGGCAATACAAATTTTTGAAACCCATTAATAACATACATTTAATTTGTTACAGTTATGTACGGGAAAATGTCAAGGGGGATGTCAAAAAACAAGCCCCCAGTGCTACCCTGGATCGACAGATCCAAGATGCGCAAGGCCAACACAACCTCCGACGTCTCCAAAGACACAATGCTATCCTGGTTCTACAGATCCTAGATGTCCTAGACCAACTCCACGGCCAACACCGTCAAGACCTCAATGCTACCCAGGATCATTAGATCCAAACTGTCCAAGACCAACCACACAACGGCCCCCACAAACTCAAGGTCCTCAATGTTATCCAGGCTCTACTGATCCAAGATGCCCAAGGCCAACACAACCATCGACGTCTGCACGACCTCAATGCTATCCAGGATCTACTGATCCAAGATGCCCAAGGCCAACCCAACCGCCGACGTCTCCAAGACCACCGTGTTATCCAGGTTCTACTGATCCAAGATGCCCAAGCCCAAGCACACAACGGCCGCCACAAACTCAAGGTCCTCAATGTTATCCAGGCTCTACTGACCCAAGATGCCCAAAGCCAACCCAACCGCCGACGTCTCCACAACCTCGATGCTATCCAGGCTCTACTGATCCAAGATGCCCAAGGCCAACACAACCTCCAACTGCTCCAAAACCGCAATGTTACCCAGGATCGTTAGATCCAAACTGTCCAAGGCCAACCACACAACGGCCCCCACAAACTCAAGGTCCTCAATGTTTTCCAGGCTCTACTGATCAAAGATGCCCAAGGCCAACACAACCTCCAACGGCTCCAAAACCGCAATGCTACCCGGGATCATTAGATCCTAGATGTCCTAGACCAACTCCACGGCCAACACCGTCAAGACCTCAATGCTACCCAGGATCATTAGATCCAAACTGTCCAAGACCAACCACACAACGGCCCCCACAAACTCAAGGTCCTCAATGTTATCCAGGCTCTACTGATCCAAGATGCCCAAGGCCAACACAACCATCGACGTCTGCACGACCTCAATGCTATCCAGGATCTACTGATCCAAGATGCCCAAGGCCAACCCAACCGCCGACGTCTCCAAGACCACCGTGTTATCCAGGTTCTACTGATCCAAGATGCCCAAGCCCAAGCACACAACGGCCGCCACAAACTCAAGGTCCTCAATGTTATCCAGGCTCTACTGACCCAAGATGCCCAAAGCCAACCCAACCGCCGACGTCTCCACAACCTCGATGCTATCCAGGCTCTACTGATCCAAGATGCCCAAGGCCAACACAACCTCCAACTGCTCCAAAACCGCAATGTTACCCAGGATCGTTAGATCCAAACTGTCCAAGGCCAACCACACAACGGCCCCCACAAACTCAAGGTCCTCAATGTTTTCCAGGCTCTACTGATCAAAGATGCCCAAGGCCAACACAACCTCCAACGGCTCCAAAACCGCAATGCTACCCGGGATCATTAGATCCTAGATGTCCTAGACCAACTCCACGGCCAACACCGTCAAGACCTCAATGCTACCCAGGATCATTAGATCCAAACTGTCCAAGACCAACCACACAACGGCCCCCACAAACTCAAGGTCCTCAATGTTATCCAGGCTCTACTGATCCAAGATGCCCAAGGCCAACACAACCTCCAACGGCTCCAAAAGCGCAATGCTACCCAGGATCATTAGATCCAAATTGTCCAAGGCCAAGCACACAACGGCCGCCACAAACTCAAGGTCCTCAATGTTATCCTGGCTCTTCTGATCCAAGATGCCCAAGGCCAAGCACACAACAGCCGCCACAAACTCAAGCTCCACAATGTTACCCTGGCTCGACCGATCCAAGATGCCCACGGCCAAGTCAACCTCCCACAACTGTTTCTCTGTGTTATCCGGGATCACCAAACCCTCATTGTTCAAAACCAACAGTTCGACCGCCTGCTACTTATTTGCCTCCTGCACCACCTACTACTGCTCCAATTGGACGTCCAAAATGTTATCCTGGCTCCACAGATCCAAGATGTCCAAAACCAACACAACCACCACAATGTTACCCCGGATCAAATGATCAGAGGTGTCCGAAACCACCTCGCCTACCACCTCCGCCACCTCAGTGTTATGCTGGATCCAATGATCCGAGGTGTCCAAAGCCACCTCAACCACCAACTCCACCACCTCAATGTTATCCTGGATCAAATGATCCGAGGTGTCCGAAGCCACCTCAACCACCAACTGCACCACCCCAACCACCAACTCCACCAGCTCAATGTTATCCTGGATCAAATGATCCGAGGTGTCCGAAGCCACCTCAACCTCCCCAATGTTACCCGGGATCGAGTGATCCAAGATGCCCGAAACCTCAACCTTCTAGGCCAGCGACACCTGCACCTACTCAACGACCCCAATGTTATCCCGGATCCAGTGATCCAAGATGCCCGAAACCTCAACCTTCTAGGCCTCCGACACCTGCGCCTACCCAAGGACCCCAATGTTATCCAGGATCCAGTGATCCACGATGCCCAAAACCTCAACCTTCTAGGCCTCCGCCACCTGCGCCTACCCAAGGACCCCAATGTTATCCTGGATCGACAGATCCGAGATGTCCAAGGCCAACTCAACCATCTACCCAACGACCTCTATGTTATCCCGGATCTATTGATCCACGATGCCCGAAACCTCAACCTTCTCGACCACAAACCCCAGTCCCTACTCAAGGACCTCAATGTTATCCTGGATCATCTGATCCTAGATGTCCAAGGCCAACTCATCCAACTACTCAACGACCCCAATGTTATCCAGGATCCAGTGATCCAAGATGCCCAAAACCTCAACCTTCTAGGCCTCCGACACCTGCGCCTACCCAAGGACCCCAATGTTATCCAGGATCCAATGATCCGCGATGCCCCAAACCTCAACCTTCTCAACCACAAACACCAGTCCATACACAAGGACCTCAATGTTATCCTGGATCATCTGATCCTAGATGTCCCAGGCCAACTCAGCCAACTACTCAACGACCTCTATGTTATCCAGGATCTAGTGATCCAAGATGCCCGAAATCCCAACCTTCTCGACCACCAACCCCAGTCCCTACTCAAGGACCACAATGCTATTCTGGATCGACAGATCCTAGATGTCCAAGGCCAACTCAGCCAACTACACAACGACCTGTATGTTACCCTGGATCGAATGATCCGAAATGTACTAAACCGCCACCTTCTCGACCACAACTTCCCGTCCCCACTCACGTTCCTCAATGTTATCCAGGATCAACAGACTCAAGATGTTCCCCGCCTACAGCCCGACCCCCTGCGACATATTTGCCCCCAGGACTTACTGTGCCCACTAAACGGCCGACTAAACCACCAGTATGTTACCCGGGATCGAGTGATCCTAGTTGCCCACAACCTCAACCTCCTCGCCCACAAACCCCAGTCCCTACTCAAGGACCTCAATGTTATCCTGGATCGACAGATCCTAGATGTCCCAGACCAACGCAACCAACTACTCAACGACCTCTATGTTATCCCGGATCTAGTGATCCACGATGCCCGAAACCTCAACCTTCCCGACCACAAACCCCAGTCCCTACTCAAAGACCGCAATGCTATCCTGGATCAACAGATCCTAGATGTCCAAGGCCAACTCAACCATCTACCCAAAGACCTCTTTGTTACCCGGGATCGAGTGATCCTAGTTGCCCAAAACCTCAACCTTCTAGGCCGCAGACACCTGCGCCTACTCAAGGACCTCAATGTTATCCTGGATCGACAGATCCTAGATGTCCCAGGCCAACTCAACCAACTACACAACGACCTCTATGTTATCCCGGATCTATTGATCCACGATGCCCGAAACCTCAACCTCCCCGACCACAAACCCCATTCCCCACTCAAGGACCGCAATGCTATCCTGGATCAACAGATCCTAGATGTCCCAGACCAACTCAACCAACTACTCAACGACCTCTATGCTATCCCGGATCTAGTGATCCACGATGCCCGAAACCTCAACCTTCCCGACCACAAACTCCAGTCCCTACTCAAGGACCGCAATGCTATCCTGGATCAACAGATCCTAGATGTCCAAGGCCAACTCAACCATCTACCCAACGACCTCTATGTTACCCGGGATCGAGTGATCCTAGTTGCCCAAAACCTCAACCTTCTAGGCCGCAGACACCTGCCCCTACTCAAGGACCTCAATGTTATCCTGGATCGACAGATCCTAGATGTCCCAGGCCAATTCCACCAACTACTCAACGACCTCTATGTTATGCAGGATCTAGTGATCCCCAATGCCCGAAACCTCTACCTTCTCGACCACAAACCCCAATCCCTCCTCAAGGACCGCAATGCTATCCTGGATCAACAGATCCTAGATGTCCAAGGCCAACTCAACCAACTACTCAACGACCTCTATGTTATCCCGGATCCAGTGATCCACGATGCCCCAAACCTCAACCTTCTCGACCACAAACACCAGTCCCTACTCAAGGACCTCAATGTTATCCTGGATCGACAGATCCTAGATGTCCTAGGCCAACTCCACCACCTACTCAACGACCTCTATGTTATCCGGGATCTAGTGATCCACGCTGCCCGAAACCTCAACCTTCTAGGCCAGCGACACCTGCACCTACTCAACGACCCCAATGTTATCCCGCGTCAACTGATCCAAGATGTTCTTCTTCCCCACCTTTTCAACCCTCTACCTTGCCAGATTATCCAAATGATTGTTATCCTGGATCTCCTGACCCTAAGTGTCCTAAACCTGACAGACCTTCTTCGACCCAGTTCCCCCCAACTTATCTGCCTCCTTTTCCCATTGATGGTGAAAGTTCACCTGAACAAGTGGTTATTTCCAGTGGTCCCCGCTTAAAACGAGAAGAAACTGGTATTAACCGAATGAAACGTTTTGTTGGACTGCCTAATATTGTTACACATGGTACGTAAATCAACAGCCATAATTTATAATCGATTAATTTTGCTTTTCTGTACAATAGACAAGTACATGTCAGCCTAACACCTGTTTTTGTTTTATATTCTAGATGGTGAACAAATGTCACGGTCAAAACGAAATATAAACAATCAAGATGGCCAGCATTTCCAAATGTCAGATCACTTTTCAGCCTTCTTTAAAAGTGATGTTTTTACTTTCGCTATTGCAGCGATTATTAGTTTGTGTGCTATTGTGATAGTTTTAGCAATTAGGAAAGGACACGGAATGGTGAAAAACAAACAAATTCACGATTTGTTGTGTAATAATTAACGTTCTAAACTACAACAATACAATTTTAAAGTGCCATTCACTAAACATTTTTGAATTGAGTGTACGTTGTGTCTGTATTTTCGTTTTTCAAAAACGAGGGAAGGAAAATGTATTTCATATATATGTAAACAGTTTCCTCCTACAGTATCCATCTGGACATATTTTCTATAAAAGTTGTTTTACAATAGTACTGTGTACTATCGAGTTCATAAAATTATTTTTTAAATTGCATTTACTTTATTTGTTACCTTCCCATTTGTACTATGAATGTGGTGAAATTGACATGACAGGTGAAAACTATGGGTTCTCCAGGTTATAGAATTCACATTGAAATCCAACTATTTTAACCAAATAAATGTGAACTGGGAGATAAGAAATATTAATTCTTATTTACTTTTCGTTCAACAAATTGACTACAGAGTTAAGAAGAGAAATTTAAAGTTCGAGAAATACCGTCCGGTGTGACGTAGGCTAGAGACATTTTCTTCATCGTGCCAACGTTTAGCTCTTTAGTGATAAATACATATACCATATAAATATAAATTTGTAAAATGATGTACACGTTATAGAAAGTTTTAGGTTTAGGTTGTGGCCAAAAGGAGTCTACCAAAACCAATATTGGTCTACTGTGCAATTGTTTAGAGTTCTTCGGAAGACTAACAGCATCGGTAGTAAAGTCCCGAGTTGTTCACGATTGCATCAGGACCCTGTCAAACATGGGGGAAAGCAAGGAAATTTCCTTTGCCTGGGTAAAGAACAGAGAGGCAAAGAAGACCCCGATAAATTGGCCAAGCGAAGTTCGAAGACGTCATCTATTGGCTCTGAACCCTTTTGACGTATACCAAACTGACAAAAACGGGATCCATCGCAATTGATTAAACTAGGTTCTCTGCTAAATGGGAATGTAACCCAGGACAGAAACATACGAAAAAGTTCATCAAACGATCATCGCAGAAATGAACTACTCAATTTAGGTTGTGTTAGAACCGGAATAATAGTTGGACTACTAACTGAACACTACAGATTCTGGAGGCCTATTTTTTATACACTCACAGCGGCTCACATAAACAAGCCTGAGCAGATATTGCCAGGAAGGAGAAAAGACAGCAAATTATGTCCTTTGTTGGTGAGAAGGCGTATGTAGGGTATGGTATGGTATGGTATGGTGATAAGGATACTAGGAAGCAGGGTTTGTAGTCCCCAGACACTGCAGCCTTTTGGCTAATTGTACCTTCCTAGTTCCTTAGTTGAGTGCAATAGACTCTATCCTTCCCCTTAGAAATATCAGGTCATTGACTGTCGCTGCTACAATTTCATTCCCTAAGTTTTTTCGTATGTTAGGTTGAATCTCCACTGAGCTGTTGCTTCGCATTCGAAGATGATATGGATGGCTGTTTCCTCCTCCTCATTACCCAATCTGTAGATGGGATCTTCGTTTTATATGCCCAGGTTGTGTAGATGTTTTCACAGATGCCAGTGACCGGTTAGTAGTTTAGCCCTGTCTAGTGGCAGCAGTGATTTTTCCAGTCTTGGTGAGGGTTGTTTCATCATAAATTTACTATGTCTAGCACCGCTAGAGTTTATCCACTTCTCCTTTTGTTTTGTTTGGATCCATTCTGCGATCGACGAATCTTGCAGATCCTCCTCTGGCCAGTCTGTCTGCTTTCACGTTACCCAAAATTCCTCTGTACCCTGGCACCCAAGATATCATCAGGTTGCTGTGTTTCCCCAGGTTTTGGAAAGTTTAGATGTCATTCACTGACTAATTTTAGTGTAATTCTTTTACATGCTTATGCTTTAATGGCTGCTTGGCTATCAGATCTTACGGGGATTTTTTTTGCCAGTATAACCTATTTTAAGACTTTCCAGGGCACAAGCGTTGATGGCATTTATTTCTGCTCTAAAGACCGAAGTGTACATCCCTAATGAGTTTCATTGCTCATGTTTTGGGCTTGTAACAGAAAACACCCGATCCGGTTCCTTCGTTTGTTTTGGAGCCATCTGTATACCATTATATCTGATGGTCTCCTGTGTTCTTCCTCTCCTTTATATTCCGTTGAGACTTTAGACGATGTTATAAAGAATGTTTCCGGGATCATATAATCGGTCCCCATTTCAATGAATGGGTGTCTGATTTTGTTAATTATAGTTGTATGCTCGAATTGTTTAATTCCTATCCAATGTAATTGTTTTTGGAGCCTAAATGAGCTTTTCATAGTCTCTCCTTGTATGACTATTTCCAGTAGAGGTAGGTTTAGCAGATTTTCTAGTGCACTTGTAGGGGTTGTACTCATTGCCCTTGTGTTGCATAGGTTTGCTAGTCTTGCCTAATGTTTGAGTAGCTGCTTTTTGTTGAGCTTTGGTCCACCAGATTAATGATCCATAAGTCATGTATGTAGGGTAAGAACAAGAAAAGCTCAGGCCTGCAGGATACAGACCTTTCAAAAGCTTTGAGATCTGGTAAAACGCCTTAAGCTTAATTAAGAACCCTAGACAACAATGGAGGTGCACAGGTATAGTTCGGCCCTTTCATCCCTACACCTGCTCCTAGTTTCATCTTTGATCCATCTGTCTACCATATTACGATCGCTTCCAAAACCTTGGGGCTACATTCGTCCAAATGCCTGTATCATATATATTACTGCTTGGAAGGGTGTGTCAAAGTTGACTTTTTATCTCATTATTTATTTTAAATTCTATCAAGAATTTTGTAATGATTTCTCCTTAGATTCGGCTTTATTTCTTTGTATCTCAGGAGGCTGTTGGCACTCTCAAAAAAAATTTTTTATACAAATACGTAAGGGTAGAAAATTGAGAGCGGTTTCCTTTGTATTGATGTAGTGGGGCAGGATCCCGGTTATCTATTCTGCCTTTGGCCGGAAAGTAACATTATCAAACTTAGTTGGTTTAGTTGATAAATACGTATTACATTTTTTACACGTGTCGTAGCATTAAGATTAAGATTAGAAAAGACCCAAGATCTTCATCAGGGGAAAACCATCTTAAAGCACTGTTTCAGGTCTTAGCAATGTTGCGATTGGGACATATTCAAACAAATTAGAAATCATCTGTGAAAAACATAATTATGTCTATTTGTAGATGAATTTAAGATTGTTTTGCCCCGATGTGTAGTATGGTCTTGAGGTAAAACAAATTTAAACTTAACTTTCGACCTATTTTAAGGTCATCATCAGGGCAAATAAACTAGAATGCTCTGCACCTCTGATTCTACCATTCAGGTAAGGATCTGGCGGAGGTCGGAGGAGGGATGCAGTCGGCGATAGACGTTGTGGCTCCGAAAGCAGAGAAAACCGGATTTACCTTCTCAACATCGGAAAGGTGTGCGTCCACTTCTGCATACTGAGGAGGGCGGATAGTCCTCCCCAACTCTGTTTGAGGGGCGCAACTGTATGGTACGTTGAGACGGTGAGGTTTGTCGGTCTCCTTTTTGATGATAAATTGACAGGGCAGTCACACATCGACGCCACTGAGATCAAGGGCAGGAAACCCTCGCACTGTTAAAGTTAGTCTGACACTTTAAGTGGGGAGCGGATAGGGAGACTCTACTAAAATTTTGACTCGCTGTTTTGTTCGAGGGTCTTTTATGGATGTATTACCTATTCCTTGGCCCGTAAAACGCGAATGAGAAAGATTGATAAGCTATATTATCAGGTCCTGAAAGCAATCTGGGGAGCGTTCAGAACCAGCCCCTTGGCTAGCTTGTGCTGCGAACTAGGAGTCTTGCCTCCCGAACTGCGGAGGAACGGACACGCGGTTGGTTTCCTGGCTAAGCCGTGGTATCCTCTAGCTGGAAAGATCCTTCAATGCCCGTACAGAGAAATCTACGACGTGCTTCAATGGTAGACGCGACTTCTCGGGATTTGCTTCGATGAAGCTCTAGGAAGGGCTTGACTGGCCCTGGGGACGGTGCTCCGTCTGAGTGACAAACCAACACCACTCTGGACACTTCCGGCCGTACTCGTCCGTAACGATATGTCGAAGTTGCCCAAATCGTGTACACCGCCATACCTCTACAAGATTATGTTTTATGAACAGATACGTCTGTTTTCGTCTCGTTTTTTACAGACGGGTAGAGGACCGGCGATGGTGTGGCGTGTGCCATGTATAGCGGCCAAGTTAGCCGTTGCCTCCTCATAGCAGCGTATACACGGCAGAATTGTACGCGATTTGGTACGCTCTTGAGGCGGTGCGGACTGAGGAAGATTCAGCCTTCCTGTTCTGACTGTCTGAGCGCTGTTTGGGATCTGCGTGACGGATTCTCCCCACCCCCGGCCGTCTCGTCGTGCTCTTATTACTAGAAAGATATGCCGAACTTGAGATCCTCGGAAAAACGGTGGTTCTTGTCTGGGTCCCTGGACACATCGGCCTAGAGGTAACGAATGCGCAGACGCGGCGGCGAAAAGCTGCAAAAAGGATGATGGGAGATAAATAGCAGCGTCAGTGGTCAGGGTCATCCGAGAGACTCCTTCTTGTTCAGAGCACTTCCTGCAGATGCCCTGTCGCGGATCTGAGCCGTAAAGAAGGAATAGTTCTTGCCAGATTAAGAATAGGTCATACGCGGTTGATATATGGGCACTTGCTAGTGGCCAATCCCCCCGCAGGTGTCCCTTATGGAAAGAAAGGTTGCTCGATGTGTCGTGCCTTGGCTCTCTACAGGACGCGAGTAGGCGTGCCGCCAGATTTAAAAGAGGTTCTCGGACACGACAGCGAGCTTCAAGGACACCTGTTCCGTTTTTGAAGGAAATTAGGAATTTTCTATTGTATATAGAAGTTAAATTATGTGTTTTGTGTTTCTGGGTCTTGTATGAGTGAATGCATTTATTGGTGTGAATGGGGAGGGGCTGATGGTGAAGTAGGTTTTCCACCACCCCTCAGGTTGTGTGTATGACTTGGGTTGATGGTGGAAATTTTATACAAGTATCTCATTGACCGCAATTTAGATTAGTTTATTATAGCGAACAGGTAGATGGAGAAATATCGAGTACTCCATCTACTAAACAGAATGAGTGCGATCAATGTATATAGGTGTGAATTTATTTATTAGTGTGACTGTGTATTGAGTGTGTGTTGCAATATTGCTAGCTGTTGAATTCCCCTGGGGAAAAAAAAAGATTTTTGCATTTTTGCAAAAACCAGCTTAACTCTTACAGTCATGTCGAGACACTGAACTCCTTCAACCTGATGATGATGGCCTGAAATACTGTTTGTTGAAAACAACTAACTGTAAGTAGGAACTGTCTTTTTAAAAAGATTGAACAACATACTCACTTAACCATTTATCATTTCTATTATATTGAGTTGTCATTAGATGTGTAAGTGTAGTAGTTGCTACCATTATTGCACCTTAAGAAGTGGATATGGAAACATTTTGAAGAATTAAGATTTAGATTATTATTTAAACATCAAGAATGTAGAAAATTCAAATTGTTTTGGACGGTTAAGTGGTCAGGAAAAGAAAAAAACAGGTTTTAAGATTTTTAGGTAATCAGCAAAGAGAATAACATTTATATCATTAAACAAAGAGAAAATGTCATTTATAAAAACAAGAAGTGTAATAGGTCTTAATATGAGAGCCCGGAGGAACCTTAAGTAACTGTAAATTGAAAAGATTAAGAAAAATTAACTTTGACTATTTGATATACATTTTCCCAATAAGAGTGAAACCAACAGAGAAGACTGCTATTAAGTATTAGCTAAATAATTCTTAACGAAATCATAATCACAATTTCTAAAATTGTAGAAGCTAAAAGTACTTTGATTAAAAAAGTATGAAGAATGAAATGAATATTGACACTCTAGTGGAGGGAGATAATAGACTACGAACATGAGGTTGAGAATGATTTGGTAAACAGCATTACCATTAGAGGGAATAGACCAATTTGTTTTAGGAAGGTTGTAGTCACCTAGCAGAATCATTTCTTCAGTAAGATGTACAAGTTAGATATTTTCACTTGTTTGACATTGACTGCTGTAGTCCTTAACTGAACTGCCAGATGGTAAATAAACAGCACTAATTATAAACTTTTTTGTTAACACTCATGGAAACAAATATTTACTCAAATGAGGTTCTCCACATGTGACCGAGAAATGATGTTCACTGGTTCACTGCTTACTGCAACTAATACACTACCTCCTCTAGTTTTTCCAGCAGAGTTACGATATCTTCTGTAGACAACATAGTTACCAGTTCAAAGACCTTCAACATTTGAAATTAGACAAGTTTCAGAAAATACTGTTATGTCATTATTTAGTGATTTTGAGTTAATTCTGAAATCTTAAATTTTAGAGTTTAACCCATATTGTCTGGTAAATATCGTCAATCCATTAAATGATTGATTATAACTACTTAGTTTTTGCCTTTTTTACAATGTTTGGGCATTCATTGAAAAATGTATTGGTTAAGGTGGGATTTTGTTGTAGCTCAAGGTCAAATGCCTTAAATGTTATGTCTAACCTTAATGTTATGACACATTGGAGCCAGAATATCATAAAGTAATTTATCAAAGACCTTTGTTATAATCGCCTGAATGCATACAGGTCTACTTACATTCTTAATGTCATAATGGTCAATAGATATATAAAGTAAATAAAGCCTGGCACTAAAAACACTAAGGTGTGCTCAAATTAACCTTCTTTTAAGGAATGAGGATAACCATATCTTTGAAAATGCACTTTTTCCTATAAGACTAAGCACATTCCTCAGTGAGCCTTCGAGCATCTCTTTTGGTATGAGACTTGCCTTACCAAAGTGGCTGTACTGTAACCAGGGTAATACTTCACATACCAAAAGAAATGTGCAGAAGGTACCAGTTTCTCCTAACCGAGTCGCATGTTTCTGTCTCTGTGTTTCCTCATCTTCTTTACGTGGAGTTAAGAGGGCAGTGGCCAGTATAGAGGCTTATCATTTTTCTCAAACCCTGCGTGCTGAGATACAGGCTTGTTGGCTAGTTGGTCAGCCTGTTCCATTTCCTTCTATACCCTCATGTTCCAGAACCCACTTTAAGGTAATCATGCTGTGTTTTCCTAGACCCATTAGGCAATTAAGAACTTCCGGACAAGTTTGTAATTGAAAGCATGTACATTTAGTGCATATATAGCTGTCTGATTGTCTGAGAGTATCAATCTGTGTACCTTTCATATTTTTCTTTATTAGCTTCTGTACACAGTTGTATTGTATGGACCTCAGCTTGGACAATTGTTATTATTAGTTGCCTTTTTAACCTTTTTTTAGTATGGAATTTTTACCCCTACACCTAATCGCTGGTCTCTCTTCTATCCATCTGTGTAACATATTAGGGCCTGAAATTCCTGAAACTTACAGCTACCTACCTTCCAAAGTTCTCTCTCAACTAGACCTCTTGTAAGGGCCTTAAAAGTTAAGTTTTTCTCTCATATTGTCAGGTGCTGTAATAGCCATCTCATTTCTCTTAATTCTTCTCAAAATTTTTTAGTGGTTCCAGGAGAGACTTTATTTCCTTGTATTTCAGGAGTCTGTTAGCAAACCCAAAAGCCACTTTTTGTACATAAATATGTAAGGGTGGAAGTGGTATCCATTGCTGCAATGGGGCAGATAGGCATTGATTTTTTTTTTATAAATTTTTCAAGGAGATTTTTGTATTGCCTTATAATTTATGATTATTAAAAGAAAGAGAGACATAACCTCTAAGAGACCAAGAAACAGAATAATGACAAAGGTCACATCGTGCAATAATTATACCCGAATAACAACTCTAAGGACTTTATTGAATACATATTCATTTTACTTTTAACATGTAACAATAAGAACAATTNCTTACTGAAATCAACAATGATGAAAACTAAAATAATTGTTTGTATTCAGTTACAAGCATAAAACTGTAACTTGTAAAAGATTTGGAACAATTATTTTACACTATTGTACACTGTGATTCCATAATAATTTAATCAATATATTCCTACATCAAAGTTAAATCCCCATGCCATTTTTATATACTAGTAGCACATGACTACTTCTTAGACCCCGAAGAAATATTTCATTTATTTATTTTTGTATATAATGTACATAATAAACCCTACATTTTTTTTACAATAAAATACATCACAATTATTCTTACTAATTAATGGTACAATGGAAGAATCTGAATAGGTAAAAAATAATTTACAAAACATACAAGAGTATCCTATAATGTTTTTAAAGTTTTAAATCACTATGTGACACAAAGCAGATGTGGATATTTTTACAAAGATAAATAAACTGTATTTACAATTGAACCACTATACAAACAGCTAAAAAAAAAATTTTCTACCATACTTTAGATAGTGGAAGATATAACAATGTAGCCAGTCTTGATTTAACATATATAGGTTGTATTACTTTTTAAATACATAATAATTAATAAATATGTAGATGATAAAAATAATTACTATTATCTAGGTTTAAGCTACAACACATAGCTTCAAAATTATTCACAAACACTCAAGATCAAAGTATGGTCTTGGAGACAAAAGCAAATATATTTTTTACTGCCAAGCTTTCTACCTATTTTGTCATCATCAGGGCAAAACAATATTAAATACACTTAGTCCTTGGCAATGTTAGGACTGAGTCGGTCTTAAAGAAAATTTGAGATCGCTTGTAATAAAACTTAGGTCCATCTAGACATATTTATGATTGTTTTGCCCTGAAGATGACCTTAAAATAGGTTGAAAGCTTGGCAGTAACAACTGTATTTTTTTCCAAGACCATATCATCATCTAGAAAATTCATGACTGAAAAAGTGGTCAATACTTCTAACACTGAAATTCAAAATTATTAACTTTGAGTTTATAACAGTTAACACCTTTATTATTTTTGTTACGTACTTTATTATAAAACAATTTTATTTGTGTTATTAAGTACAGTCGTACCTATGGTTGACACCATTTTATCATTTCCAGCATTACAATTATGATATTACACTCAGTGTTTCGATTCTAAGGTATTTACACACAAATAAAAAATAAAAAAATAAACAAAAGAGATCATTCAAGTTATTGTTTTGTATGAATATAACACAAATACTTTTTGCTTTAATATATACAAGGGATATTTACAAATATAAGTTTTCTAAATGAACAACAGTTTTGTTCATTGACTCATTGCTATGACATTTGTTCTTTTTTCATTTAAAAAAAAAAAAAAAAAAAAAAAAAAAAACATTTTAACCAAAAACTGTATCGAATGATTCTTAAAAAAAAGATTGTATAAATTTACAAAATATCATCAAACTTTGTATCAATCATTTACCATAAGTTAATTTAGATTAAAACACAAAGGTTCTAATTTTTGTAGATAAACATAATTTTCCAAAGAAAAGTGTTTAGCCTACATGTATCAATAAATAAGAAAATTACACAAGAAAAATTGAAGAAAGCACATTTAAAAATTACTATTTCGAAGAGTTTATTGCAGATTTACTAATAATCTTGAACCCTGAGATTTTTCTTAACATTCAAGATGGAAGGTCCATATGGCTTGAAACTTTGTCGAGTGTTTCACTGAAAGACGTTCGTCTTGAAACAATAAGAGCTAAGAAAGTATCAAACTGTGACCTCCTGTGTATATTGACTCTTTTCATCGAGATTCAGGAGGATCGCCAAACGGCCAGAAGTCTCAGACATATCTTCTGGCTTTGATATCACAGGCAGAGGTACTTTGCTTTCTAAGTTGGCAGCTGTTAAACACCACTTTTCAATCTTCTGGCCGGGTTTCTCGTCTTCTTCGTTCGCTTTCTCCAGCCTTCCAGCCTCCTGCATTGCACTTATTTTTGCAGCCAAATGCCTGTTGCCGTGCCGCATGTTTTTTTCTTTCAAATGCTCCAGTTGAACATACAACCTTTTGAATTCCTCCTGTAAAAAATATCACAGCATTAATACATTTGTGTTTATTAAAATTGTTGATTATTTTTTAAACATACTTAATTGGGGCAATACGGTTTTTTTAAAATTTTATTTTAATGGCTTTATGTTCTTTGCATATTGGCCAATGAAAATGTTATTATGCGTATTCGTTTTGGGGGGAAGAGTATCGTGAAAAAAGGCCAGAGGCAACGGCGGGAATCGAACCCACGAACGCGGGGTCTACGGGACGAAAAAAAAAATTGAGACAAAAATGGGTCATGGGTAGGGCATGGTTGGAAATGGTTGGGTTAGGTTAAGTTGAGTACAAGTAAGGTTAGGTCAAGAGGAGTTAGACTTAGGGTCAGACAAGAATTTACAGCCACATAAATAATAGTAGACAACCAACAAAAATGGGATGTTGTTCAAATGTACGATCATTAAAAGAACAATTAGGGCGTAAATACACAATATATAAAGTGAGCGTATGTAGAAACTGTTTTTAAGAAAATCTCAGAACAAAATAAACCTAATTTTCCCCACAAAATTAATAAAGCTTTATAATTTAAAAAAATATTTGCAGAGTTTCGCATTTTTTAATCTGCATAATTTACCATTGTTTAATGCATAAGTTTTTAAAATTGTTTTAATTGGGTTAACCCTAGGTGCTTAGCGTGCCTGGAGGTGTATGTTGTTGACAGGTTCCGTAAAACTAAGACAGATAACAATTCTTTTTTAAATTGACTTCTTTGTATGCATTAGGATTTGGTGAAAATTTGGACTATTTTTAAAACATAATTAATTCGCGCACTACTGGTTTAAACGCAAAAACAATGATAAACGAAAAAAAAATTACATTTTATTTAGCCCTTGATATTAGGTTTATAATACTCAACAATTTATAGGTGATTTTAATTAGCTTTGATTGATTTCAATTAGCTAAATTTAAAACGTACATGTGAATGTTTTAAAAAAACAACACACAAAATAAGCCTTTAATAAAAAGGTTTTTTTTTCGGAAAATATCTGGGGACGTATGATTAATTGTATAGCCGTTCTTCTGGGAACAAGTAAGGGATGGATACAATTACATCTTCACAGAGGCCGACAAAAGTTGAAAGTACTCTATTATCTACAAATTCACAACGGAAAATACCGTTGAAGATGGGTTTCCCCACCAGAAAATTTGAGTACTGGAGAGGTGTATGATAAGAATTTTTTTTATTCTGAAGATATCGCTTCAATAACCGCTCATTTTAAATATGATAAAATATGTACATTTTTATATAATATGTAGATAATGTGTGGTGATTAGTGACCGTTAATCGATATTTATTTAGAAATCGTGAGATGCGGTCTGGTGTGATGTAGGTTTCAGAAAAACATTTTCTTTATCGTGCCAACGTGTCGATCTTTATTGAGATCATCTTCAGGGCTCAAAGTGCGATAAAGAAAATGTTTTTCTGAAACCTACATCACACCAGACCGCATCTCACGATTTCTAAATAAATATGTCGATAATATAAAATCTCGTCTTTTCAATTAATTTAAATATGCTAAATAATCCGAAAATTTGCGCAAATTGCTAATTGCTGAAACACCATTCTTCTACACTTGAGGATTGACTTGAATTGCGGTCATAATTTGCTCTCGAGATGTAAATTTTGCTTTGAGAGGAAGAAGATTTTATGAAATAATTTAATTCGTAAAAAAAGTCATTAACTTGCTAGACGATCGTCAATTTTAAATAAGTGTTTATGCCTTTGTTGTGCACATATTTCTCGATAGATATATCATTCGATTTGCATATGTATCTAGGATAAGAAAATAATATGCTAGATTGAAGAGAATGAGATTAGATATTATAAGAAGTTACAAAAATCTAATTTAGCTTCCAGAAAATCTAATTTAGCTTCCAGAGTAAAGTAGAAAAAAAAAACTTTTTTTTATAAAAAACAACTCTTATTCGTTTTAAAGCGGCGTTTAGACCTTTTAAATAAGAATTCTCATTGTACAAAAATTAATTAATTAAAATTTAAAAATTAATAATAATAATAACAAGGCATTTTTGGGCCGGTGGATTTGCCGGGGGCGAATTTTTTATCACCGATGTCCTGAGTTCCATTTCAAAATTAGTAAAACCCTTGAATTTTATATGTTGTATATACATATCTAACGTTATTACAATTTTAATTAAATTTGAATTATTTATTTTCTTTCAGTCTGTCTCAGGAATGTTTAGATTAGGCTATTATAAGTAAGAAGAATAAAGATTAAATCTACAAAACGAAAAAAATAAACAAGAAACACTTCAACGTTATATTCTATTCCGCTTTAAATTTATTTACGGAAGATACAGTGTTAATCCGCATTTTTAATAACGGATTTACTTAAGAATAGTAAACATAAACGTTACTCATTTTGTAAACAAACACATTTTCTCGTCTTTTCACTATTTTAATCCAGTGGCATTCCCTTTAGCAATGAAAAGACATCATCATTAGACGTTCGCTATATTATTGTGAGAATGAGTCATTGAAGTCACCGGCAAGTAGATATCGCAGAGGCAGTGGCCTTTCTCAGCCCGGTCTTAAACCCGATTCTGAGAGACTGGAAGTGCCAATTGGAGGCCTGGTAGTAGAACTCAGCGCATTACGACGCTAAGGGAGGACATAAATATGGTCCCCCGCCAAATCGTAAATGAAGTACAAGATGTTTTGGCAAGGCCTTTATCAACACAAACGATTCGTTAACCGTTTGTAGAAAGTTGGCCTCACATCGTATGCCCCTTTGAGACGAATCTAGTTCTCAACTCATACTAATGGGGCAAGCCGTCATCACTAGCTATATCTAAAAACTCGCAGATAAGTCTCCCGACAGCCGACGTGGCTGCATGCTGAACCAGTCCCTACGGTTGCTACCGTGTATACCGACTCATGCTGCATCGACCATCGGCTCTACTCATAACAGAAGGTAACCAAATACCACGGTCGCTAAACGTTGAAGATTTTGGCAAGCCCTTGACATGTTTGACACGAATCAAGTTCCATAACTACGTCGTTCAAGACAGAAAGGCTACCAGACCGTAGTCTAGCTTCAATCCCAGAAGCAATGATTTTGAATTCGTACGAGGTTTTGAAGCTATGAGAAATAAAGTATTTCATAATTTACCGTGACACCTTTTCTTTATGAACTGAAGCATTATCTCCTTGGCATTACTTGACGTAATCACCTAATCATTCTACCGTTGCTTAACCGTATTAACAAATGAAAAAATGAAACAATAACAAATGAAAAACTTCACCAACTTTTCTAGTTACCTTATAAAGTTAAATAATATAGTTTATTTTTTAAATTCAATTAGAAATTTAAATGAAAATTTTATGAACCCTTGCCATTTATTATGTATAATAATTACTAAATTTTACAAAATGCTTTATTCACACAGGCGTATTCAGTTGTATTTATAAGTATTCAGAAATCGTGAGATGCGGTCTGGTGTGATGTAGGTTTCAGAAAAACATTTTCTTTATCGTGCCAACGTTTCGATCTTTATTGAGATCATCTTCAGGGCCTGGGATTTACAAACATTGTTTACATTTAACAAAGTATTTATAAGTTTTTCTCGTTTTATCACTCCATCCATGCAGTCACCATTTTAATTAACTATTACAAAAAAAATGAGTTTTTTTTTGGCCTTTGGTAAAATTTAATATCAATATAATCAAGGAAACAGGATGTTTATTACACGCCTAATTGTTCAATTGTAAAAAGTAATAATAAATTAATGGTCTCAGATTCTCCCACCCGTTTAAATTTTTTAGTATAGAGCTAGGATATAAACTTGCGGGATTTATTGGCATCCCTTGGATAGAATGGCGGTTCAATGTGGTGTCATGAGGTTGACATCGAAGTGACAGCACGCCTCCAGATTGGGAAAAAAGAAATCCAGTAAAGGTTTTTTTTAAGTAGAGCCGTTTAGGGAAAAGCCCGATTTTCTTTCTCATCTTTTTCTCACGTCGGAAAAATGTTTTTAACACAATTCCATTTAGACGTCCCATTAAAATCCATTTACTGTTTAAGAAGACAATTAGTCTTTTATGATTGACAAAAGATAATGATATAACAGTTTTAGAGGTTTTTTTTTAATTTTTAAAAGGGAGTTTTAATTTTTTTCCTTATATGCGCTATTATATGAGTTATATTTAAGAAGGTAGTCTGGAAGAATTATTGATCCTCAGTACTTTTTTTTAATAAAACGAAACAGTATTGTTGCACGACATTCAATCAGTATTGATCATTTCTCAATTATATGGTTTCTATACTTGTTAGAAATCAGAATCGCTTCTCAATAGCTACATTTTTGATAACATCAAACTATCATTGTAGAAATGACTGCTACGACAAAGTATTGAACAAAAGAGCGGATAATCGGCGAGATTAGGCTTGGTTGACATCGCTGATTCTCATTAAAAAATTCCCTTGATTAGGGTTAATAATGTCGAAGAGTTCTTTTAAATAGTTACCAGTAGAAATGGGGCTCCGCTAACGAGCTAATGAAAAGAGTTAACTCACACAGTTACTGAGCGTGCGATGAACATATTGGAAAAAAGAGCGGTAATTCTTACATCATCCTCAACATTCCGATGCCATCGCTTCAGCGATTGCCGCTCAATTTTGAATTTTGTCGTTACCACCACTCAGTAACATGATAAGTGACTTCACCCCGTTTGCCAATCTAAATAAATACATTTAAAAAAATCAGGCTTTCCTGCATTTAAATGGTGTTTAAAAAAAGAACACGAGAATGAGGAGCATTTTTTAAAATTATTTAATTTATCGATCATGGCTTTATAGCTTTAGAAGAATTGAGTATAAGCATATATTTCTTATTCTTATCTTAAATATATTTTCTTTGAACTGTTTTGGGATTTCATAAATATATTAAAAAAACAAACCCAATTTATTTTGTTGATCGTTTTATTCAAAACTTTTTTTAAACCGCCCTGTGGAAGGTAAACCTTCAGCTTGTACCTGCCTCATACTTATTATTTTGAAGCTTTTGATCATTTTTTGGCGACTCCGTGGCATTTCTGCCTTTATTGACTCCAACTTACTGAGAGCTTCAGAACGTAAACTATCCGGACAGAATCGAGTAAAGCGAGGTTTTGACTTAAATGGCCGCAAGTTGAAAAATACGTTAGAATACCCAGAAAAAGAAGCCAAACCTCAGCCGTTTGTCGGCCCATAAACTTCACACATTATTGTTATTATTATTATTTCGATGGGAATTAGCATTTGGCAGACATCCCAATACATATAAGGTCAATCAGATTCTTGCAACTACAAAAATGTATAAATAATTTTTCAAATTTAAACTTCTTGTCAAATTAAAAATACTTAATTTAGGAAAATTCTGTTTGCTACAACTATTCGTCAAACATTAACAAGCACGATTTTTAAAAGTTGTTCAGCTGGATCAAATGGTTTATGACAAACGCAATCATATGTGAAGGGTTCCCAATTTAAAAAAAAAAGATGATTGTACCTATTTTTATATAAAACATATATATATATATATATATATAAACATAATACGAAGTAATACTTACAAGGTGGATTGACCACAGGTCTAAATAATTTCTCATTTGTACTTACTTGTATGTCTTGCTCCGTCAATTTAATTTCCGGGCCGGCTGTAGACGAATTCGTAGAAACGGCGTATTGCGAATTCCCAGACCGTGGTTTATTTAGGAATTTAGTAGTATGTACTTTGGGCGCCGTATTAAAAGTATCATCGGATTTGCCATGTCCTTTGAACACCATGTACGCCTAAAATCAATTAATTAACACATTGTTTCTTAAATAATTTTAAAACAAATCTTTCCAAGTAACATAACTAATTCAATACACTTTGAAGCTGGGCGCACACTAGGTCGGTGGGGTGGCGCGGCGCGGAACCGACCCCAAGAAAAATACATTGAAATGAATGTAACCCCGCACACTAGGTCGGCGCTGGAGAAGTTGCCAGGCTTCTGGAAGCCGGAGCTGCGGCGCGGTGTATATTCTGCTGCTCTCGGACGCCATATTGGAAAAGCCAATGTGTTGCTTTGTTTACCCTGCTTTTTGGAATAGTAGTAGCATTGTTTCAAGATAAGTTTAAAAACAAGATCATTTCCATAAAATAATGGTGATATTTTCCAAACGCTTCGTGTTTATTTCATGTACCCATGCTTTTCGTTTTCGGTTCAGCCTTTGTTCCTCCTCTTCCAACTCTACGAACGCGACCAGAAAAATAATTTCCTCGTCGCCACTATTTATTATGGATACAATTATTGTCACGTGGGACAGTGCAAATACAAAATAAACACTAAACCGCATCGCTGGTCAGATGGAGGGGACAAATTCGACCCACGCGGCCGAGAGCGGTTCCTACATAGTGTGCGGACTTTCACAAAGCCCCCAACCGAACTAGGTGCGTCCAGCTTAACTGCAACCTAAGTGATTATTTGTTTATATTTTTATAAACATTAACGATGAGTGCTTGCTTAAAACAATTATCATGAAAAAAACATTTATCAGATAACAGCATTTTCATTTATACACAATCTTATTATTTTTCCTTCTTGAAGGTGGGATAATAGGTCATCTTTGTACACAATGAAATATATTTTCAACGTTTATGTTATCATTTTGAAGACGTAATCCTTTAATTTTGTACTGAAAGGAAGTGAATGATTTTTTTAATGTGACAGTAGAAATGGATCCCAGCTAATGCCCGATGTATCTGGGTTGGGCAATATTCCACTCCCTTTTAGGAGGAGACTGGGTATTACGAACAAAAGTCGGACAGCCAGACGGCACTAAAAGCACCTCATCGGTAGTAAAGCTCAGAGCAGTTTGTGCTTGCATACTGGCCCCGACATATACTGAAGAAAACAACAAAATTTTCCTTGTTTGGGTAACAGTGCGTTCTGTGGTATACCAAATTGCAATCCTAATTGCCTGCGATATGTCAGGCAATGAGTTAATAATAAGTATCAGTTCAATGGTAATGTATTCTAGGACAGAGTCATGGAAAAAGGCCCATTAAAAAAACATTGCAGAAACAACTACTAAAATTAAGACGAGTCTACAATTATACCATGATTGCTGACTAGACACTATAAACTCCGGAGGCATATCCATGACGCTGGATAGAAGTTTTATTGTGCAGACTTAGTCAGTATGAAGGACTATGCCGGATGAATTTCCGACTATTTGGAGAAGAAAAGATGTAAGAGGTTGATACATTAGCTAAGGTATGCTCGATCAGCACACCGTAACTCGTTTTGGTCTATAAATTTGCTGTCCAAAGGGTAAAAGATGTATCAACCATTGGGCTCAGAATAAGCCCTCAGTTAAATGGTTAGGTATTCTACGACTGAGGCATACAGAAACGTCCTTAGCACATTAAACCAATACTGTTCGTGGTGCGTTAAGTAATAAACAGCCCTACAATCCTAATTAGCTATAACCCTGGAACTACTTACATCCCAATCCAATGGAAAATGTTATTCGTGAAACCCATTCCCAAGCATTTAAAACCTCACATCTCATTAAGACATATTGTACTATCGGAGTACTATCATTATATGGCAAACTGGAAAGATCCCTTCTAAAGCAACTATATCCGATCGTTGAAAGTTAAAGACATTCCATCCCATTCCGTTTCAGTCGACATTACTCTACCATTCAACAGATATTGGGCTTGGACTACAATTTTGGACTGTTAACTGGATGCTGCAGATTCCGGAGGTATATGCATAGACTCGCAGCAGCAGTAACAAGCCTGTGCAGATATTGCCACGAAAAAGAAAAAACAGAAGAGCATGACCTCCGATGGTATATATGCAGTCTACTTCTGTGAATAGATCAATACTGTTCGTGGAAAGGTCGTAAAGAAGCCGACTCATTTTAACATTAACTTTTGTCATTCAATAGTGTCACAGAGTGGTGGACATCATCGCATCATTCTTTAGCAGATGGGTGCTTCCCTAGACGTGAGGTTGAGTGTAGCCCTAGGGTTTCCTGTAGAAACTCAAGTGCATTTTTACATCCACTTACTGCCTCGTCCTAAAAGTAGAAAAAAAAACTGCGGAAGATGCCCTTTGACGCTACGGAGACCAGTGGCTTTGATTTCTACTCCTGGAATACACGCTTGAGCCTTAAATAAAGCTTTTGGATCTGGAAAAAAGCCTTAAGCTTTACTGAGCTCTAGATAAATATGGATGTTGCAAAATAGACCAATATCGCGATACACAAGATACATTCTTTCTAACTTTTAACCTTTACTCTCTTAACGTTGAGATTTAAAATCACTATTCGAACCAAGTGTGTTTTAACAATAGTTAAAAATTCTAAGCCCGTCAATTTCGATTGTCAAAAAAAGATAAATTTAATTTACGAAAATGAAATTATTATTATCTACTGACAATACAGACTATTCTCTTCTCTGAAATTACTTAATTCATGAAGCCACGAACAAAGGTAAGAAGATTCACACCTTTACCAAATCTGTATTACGATAACAAGTCGATACGAGACTCGTTCGCGAAAAACAAAGTTAAAGCAAAGAAGTTTTGATAAGAATCTGACGAGAGAAGCCACTCTTTTTGATGACCAAGCTCTCTTTATCTGAAAACGTTGAAATACAGTGTTCTGTTTTTCACAGATTATTTTTTCCGTCGAAGGATCCTGATATTGTAAATGACAAAGAAAGAAAAAAGCCGTTCACAATTATTAGATTTTTAAACTTTACAATGGTAACAATATGTTTGAGGGAGGTTTGTAAGAATGCTTACGTCGCAATCCAAAGGGATAGCGTCGAATAAAATACGTACGAATAATACGTTTTTTTCCCAATTTCCATAGCATGAGTTTGCGATCTCCAATTTGTCCTGAAAAGGTTTGATACCTAAAGAATAATGTGACAAGAGGGATTTCATGGTGTTTTGTGAGGTTTTCCAGAGGTAAAATTAAAAAAGATTAGAAATCAACGATTCGAGAAATAAAAAAAATTGTATATTGAAATTCTCTTATGTCCAATTTGGATATCTGAAGCACCATCAGGACTGATGTTGACTAAATACTCAAATATTAACTTTTCACAATTTGTAAAAGTTATTCGACTGATCTCCTTTTTTCAGGAAGAGTATATTTATTGTTCATGCAACAGTCACAATCTTTTTAATTAAAAATAGTTTTAATACGAAATATGTGTTAATAAAACTATTAATACCTTGCTTCCAAAAATAAAACACAACAATAACGTGACAGTCAGTTGAGTATGGCAAAAAAATATTATATAGAGCAAATCCGGATTGGCTGGCGATTGAAGGAATAACCTAAAAATTAAATAAAAATAATAATAGCTCTGGTCAATAATTAATAGTTTTTATATAATACTTACATAGAAATGTTGAGGAATAGAGAGAGCAAGAATTCGTTGTAGATGGCCATTGAAATAAATCGACTTTCATTGAATTCAGAAGGCGCTTTTCTCACAACAATGCACAGTCGAATGCCCCATACGAGAAATAGCACTTCCACTAAAATCAATTATAATTGGTTTAAAACCGATTTATTTATGGTAAAAGATTATTTTTTGATTTTACAAGTTGTAAAGGAATGATCCCACCAATCGGTCTGACAAAGGTAAGCTTTCAAGTCGTCTGCCGTCCTTGCGACAATGGCCAGCGGTGGAGCAACCAGGGTCCTAATGACAAGGAGGACAGTGAAAACGGCAACTATCATGCCAAGTCTTTTCATCAAGTCAAGATCTGTTATTTTAACCGCTTTGGCCGACCTCACTCGGAAAATTACAGATATCCTGGAAAAATACTTACAATTAGCGAATGGGAATTTCAGGTGTCTTGCCGTTGAAAATTTCTTTCCACTGAAACAATTACACATAATGGGTTATCTTAATTTTTGTAGCTTGATGATGAAAAAGTGCTTAGCTGAAACCTTTTAATTTTTTTTAATGTTTATTTGTACGAAGGGAATGGGGAATTCTTCGGAGGATTTTGATTGGAATGCTTGGATTCGTTGGACGTTAATTAGATGTCTTGGCGAAACCCCATATCATTATGTCTAAATAGGTCGAAATAATGTTTTCTACAGAGTTAGTTTGTTCTTTATCGTCATGTCTGATTTCGGTCCTAAAAGTTTTCGTAGTTGTCCAAATCGTCTATTTAGTTGACCGTTGTGTTAGGGTTCTACGTCAGTCTACTGTATAAGTATAGCCCTAAGGGTTTTACTTGTTCAGTTTCATCGTTAACGCTTTGCTCTATTCTTCAATGGGCTCAAGTTGTTCGTGGATACTGAACATGGCTTGGGTAGGATCAAAGTTAGGAGATAAAATTACAGTATTGTCAGCGTAGGTTCCGAGGATGGTGTTGGGATGTATCAGCAGATATAAATCGTATATACGGATGGGAGAATGCTGCCTTGCGGGACGTCAGCCTCGCTCGGTCATGTCTCATATAACTCATTGCTAACCTTAGGCCTAGTACGCACTGGGATTCTTTGAGTCGACTCTTTGAATCTTCGGAGAGTCTCGGCTGCGTCTAGCCTGAGTTCGGGCTGCCCCCTGGTGTGTTGCGGGCTAGCATTTTCGGATTCTTTTAAATCCCATCCGATGTGGGATTCTTTGACTCAATGTTGCGCAAAATTTTCCTAGTGCGGACGTGAATCGGAACAAGCGCTCTTGCTTCATTTGTTTAGTTGACGTTGTGGTGAGTGTTTTCTTGAAGATTTTGACAGTGTCTTGTATAAAGGTATGTTGTGGAGTACCGAGTTGACATTACATTTTATCGAAGACATGCATTCCCATCGGTGTTTGTGGGATGTATCATTCACGGAATACAGAAATTGGAAATTGGAAAGCAAACATTGAACGGTTTAGCCCAAAAATTCCGTCGTCGAAATTGAAAAAAATACACACTTTAAAAGGACAGTTCCGTTTGTTTTGAAATCCTGAAGGTGGACATGAGGCTTGTATACGAGTTCCACTCTCTAGGAACCGGAGAATGGCAGCTAATCTGTCTGCCGGAGAGATAAGATTCCCGAAAGTTGGTATCTTTCTTGGAAATTTGACCGCCAACTTTCATTAAAATGATTTCGTAATCGGTCGGGGACACCCTCAAAAAATTTCTGAACCCTGCGCCATCATTTAATCTCAACGTGTCCAAAAGATTTTTCCGGCCGTGAAATATTTGTCGAACTCACACCATCTTTTTGGTCGTTTTTTAATGCACCTCCGATTGGATTCACTACGTACAATGCAAAAAAGAGCAAGGGAAATTCCTGAGAGATTTCCTCCGTCATTTTCGCAGGCACTGATGGATGTGAACTGAATCTTGGTCTGGACACGGTGCTTTATCGCGGAGCTGAGTCGGGGCTGCATCGCAACAATGAATCTACGCAGCCCCGACTCTGCCCCGCAACACGAATCGATTCAAAGAGTCTCAGTGCGTACTAGGCTTTACTCTAAAGCAACGATATGTTCGTTAGGATGTGGAATAAGGAGTGGGTAGGAACTGCTTAGGTTTGAACACAACTCCCGGGTTCGAGGCCCTGTCAAAAGCTTAGTTCATGTGTAAGAATGCACCCGAGCAGTACTCTCTTGTCTCTAAAGAATAGGAAATGAAGTGAACAACCCTGAAACATTGCTGAATCATGGAATGACAAGAACGGAAACCAAATTGGTGAAGGAATGAACTGTACGTAAATCTAGGATGGGTATTTGGTGGTTTAAAAAGAGGTCTGTTTGTGGGGTTTAGGTATTAGAGTGATTACGGAATATTTACATAGTAGGGGAAAGTAAGAGGTTCGTAGAATTGAATTGTAAATGATAGTAAAAAAAAGTTATATCCTTCTGTGGGAGGGAAACGGTTAATATTTTCAAGAATATTGCCTTAATTTTTATTAAGTTCTAGATTAAATTATTGTCAGACTATTTGAGTCATATTATGATCATTGAATTGTTTGCTCCGTAGAAACGTTTTGGAAACAGTTTTTCACTGTATAGCGGAATCCACAGTACTGGGGGAATTACGTTAGTTTTGTGTTGTAATATTGTGCTAATTAAGGATCTCCTAATTAAATATATTTGGATGGTGAATTTGCTCCGTACAGATTAATCGAATACGCACACCATGCACGGACGTACGGATTTGAATTAGTCCATCAATTTAATTATGAATACTGAGACGACACACTTCATCTCTGGTTTGCTCTCCAAAGGCAGTTTCAATTTTGAATTTTTTTATTTAATTACTTACTATTCTGTACTTTGTATTGCTTTGTTTTTTTATGTACCTGCCAGCTTCTATTTTTTTTTTAAATTTACGTATTGTTTTTATGATAACAGCAACAACCTCCGACAGACAGTTTTAATCCATCTTTGTATATACTTACAAATTTCTTTTTAGTAGTAGACTTTTTTCTTTTGTTGTAAATAAAAGTTTCTATCTTTCTGTTTATCTAAGATCGTATTGTTCAGATGAGGTAAAACATCGGAACATAAATAATAATTTACAGTTAATTAAGGTTTTTAGTTGAGATGAAAAAAAGCTAATGGCACGAGCGGGATTCGAACCCACGATCTTCGGCTAGATACGCGCTGCTCTACCACTTGAGCTATCGTGACCTCGATCCACTCGGACATCAACTTCCTATCTCAACCCGACCTTATGAGTTTTCCCTCCTTTTTGCCATTTTTCATCTCAACTAAAAACCTTAATTAATTGTAGTGTATTAATTGGTCAAGCGGACCACGAAATTAGTGAATTTAATAAATAACAATATAACAGTAAAAAATACAAATATTTGTGTTTAACTCCAATTCCGAATAGTTTGTGTTTCCGACTTTGTCTCTGTGAGCCCCGCGGCAATGGATTCGATTCCCACCCCCATCCGTGGAATTTCTAATTCAATTAATAACATTTTATGTTCGAAATGTTTAGCCTTGCGTAAAGATTCCAAGATTTGCTCTTTTTAACCAATCTTTACCGGTGCTCAAAGGAGATGGAGTCAGAAGAGATGGACTCACAAGCATTTTCTATCCTTTGCCGCATTCTTCAACTGAGGTTGCTGGGTTATGATTGGCGTAGACACTGTTTTTTAAATGGCCCCACAGAAAATAGTCAAATCGGGTGAGCGAGGAGGCCAACAAATAAGACCTCATGGCCCGATCCACCTATCCCGAAAGTGACGTCTCACCTGCAAAGAATTGTGTGCGGGGCATCCAAAAACTGGAGGATCATTCTTTGTCGTTGCTGCAGAAGAACATGATCTGATAGTATATAGTTAGTTTAATTATTACAAAAGGCCGCGTGAAAATAACGGGAAAGCTTCTATTTAAATTATTGATTAACAATCTACTAAAGTGCAGCCTTTTTTTTAATAGGACAACACTGCCCCTGATGAAGACGCCTTGTAGTTACAAGTGTGGTAATCCACGCTTCGTTAGAGAACCCCTGTGCCTAGTAATTAAACAGGGATGTTAAACATTCGCTTATTCCGCTAAAACGCACAAAGTTTAAACTAAAAAGGACTTGTTCAATTGCAAGGTGAACAAATGTCCGAGGGTGTGTTGCCAATTGAAAACAAATATATTTCCGAAAATAGATTTAACAAAATTAATAAAATTATCCAAAGGAGTGTAGTTTCTTAAAATAGTTTATTAAATTTGTAAGCAAATTTATAATAAAGTGAACATAAATGTACTCAATAAAAAATAAACAATACGGCATGGATTCTCCGTCTGCCGGTAGGCGGTGAGGACATAATAATAATAGTAATAATGATAATCATAATAAAATATATAAATAAAATAAATAACTAATTTTATACACTGCAAAATAATATAAACCTCTCTGATTATAAATTATTGTAAATGGTTTACAAAAGTACAAATTTCTCGAAATAACATAAATAACTAAATAAAAACTAATATAAAGAATTAGTTAAATGCCACAAATCCTAGAAAAAATAGATTAAGTAAACGAAATAAGGATAAACAAGAATAAAAGTAAGGAGGGAAATAAGTTTACCCAGAAGAATAAAAAAAAGAACTAAAAAATAATAATAACGTCAAATAATAGTAAAAACAATGTTATCCGTCAATATATTCTTTCCTATATATCCAGGCTGCTTTGGTGTATTCCACCAATGCAGCCCAATTGGATCCATCCAACAAACTTAAAAATTCTTTTCTTGTAAGTACACTGCACCCGAAGAATAATCTTCCATATTCATAAAGAATAGAGCAATCCGCTATAAAATGGAAAATATCCTCCCTTGTTTTCAGGTTACAAAGACAGCATGCTTCTCTTTCAGAAGCTTGGTACGGTTTGTAGTTCAGGTTAAGCAACTCGCCCCTTAACTTCACAACTCGATGGGTCGAATAGATAAATTTTACTTGTTTATTCAAGTTAAACTTGCACACTTTACATTAGGATTTAGATTCCTGTATAGTGTGTAATGTTCGGACATCATGGTTCTTGCCACAAACTCCTCTCTTAGGGATTCTCTAACCGGTATAAATAAGTATGTATGCACGAATTGAAGCGTGTCATTTGTTAGAACTTTTTGAGTTCAAAGATAACGTTTTGAATGCAAGAGTTGATTAATTTTACTTTTTTAGTAACTTCTGGCATCTTACAATTTAACACAAAACAAAACCATAACAACAAAAAGCCTTTAAGGACTGTTATAGCTTTATCTTTGGTTCTACCATTCGTCACGCGCCGTATTGCGGAATAATAAGAAGGGGATGTTGCTAAGAAAAGAAGGGGTCGTTCACGATCTTACTGGACATTTCTG